CACCGGAGTGGTTCAGCCGAGTGATAGCTTGTGTGTGCCAACCGAATGCTTCATCATGAGCCAAGACCCTTGGCGCGCTAACATGATCAAGCAGCGACCTTCCGTGTCGACATTTTCTTCGCTGCTTCACGTCATTTGAACAGAGAACAACGAAACATCGACAGACGGAGACACAACGAACTGCATGTCGGTTGCCAATCGCTCCGGAGTGATGTCCACATCTACAGTGCGAATGGTTCCGCTACGACGCTCGAGGCTCATCCTCACAACGGTGTGACGAATTCGAACTTCCACTCGATGGTAGATATCATCTTTATCTTCAGTCAGGACTACTTCCTGCGAAATGAGGCGGCACCACGGTTCAGAAAGATGACTATCCGCTCCAGCCGGGTAATTACTACATTGTCACTAATGGTAGTTTTCCTTCAACGGGTTACATAGTTATGTTGCTGATTCCAATAGGTTCTATCACTGTCAACAACGAGCCTTGGCTAGTGCGTACAATTCGGTGGCTAGTGAAACCCGTGTTGCAGTGTTCCGTGATGCTGTTCGTGAACGAGATCGTCGATGTGTTATAACTGGTAAACCGGCACTGCGAGCCGATCATGGTATCTGGAGAGGTTTCGAGGCTGCACACATCTTTCCATTGGCATACGAAAGGCACTGGAACAAAGAAAACTACGGTCATTGGATCACTATTCCGCCGGCTACCGAATCCACAGCAACAATCAACTCTGTTCAGAATGGGATGTTGCTTGACAGTTCTATTCATGCGCTTTCGATGGCTATGATATATCGATCAATCCAGATGTACGTATGGCTAGATTATGATGGAGTCTCAACAGATAATAATTGTTTAGGATAATTACAAGATCGTGTGTTTCGGACCTGACGGCAAGGGAATCGCCGGCAAACATCTCGATCAACAGTTGCTTCAGGATCCGCATCGACCAGTTGATCAGCTTCTGCGTTGGCATTTCCGGCAGGCAGTATTGGCGAATATGAGGAGAGCCGGAGAGCCTGTTTTCGAGATTGATTTTCCGCCTGGTTCGGACATGATAGGTGAGATTATGGGCGGTCCTAGCGCTGCGGAGAGGATGGAGTTTGAGCTGTTCAGTCGCTTGGCTGTATAATGATTGCTTTTCTCTTCTTTTTCTTTAAGGTATTCGTGAATAGATGACAATTGAGTTTCGGTTGTATGGCGATAATTTTGTATTGAATTTATGATGTTTCTAGTTGATTGATTCAAGTGTGTTTGTGAAAGGCGAGATTGGAAAAGAAGGGGGTACGGGGGCGGAGCACCTGTATGCAGAGGAGCACAACGATGGGAAGGTATCGATTACAAGGAAACCGATGCTCCAACGGCAAGACTTGGCCATCGCAGCAGCATACGACTTGGAGTTACACCAGATGGACGTGTGCACGGCATTTCTCGGAGTTCTCAGCCGATACAATTCGGATCCATCAAAGGAACATATGGTGGCTCTCAAGCGCGTTTTCCGATATCTTAAGGGCAGTAGGCACTGGAAGCTTCGTCTCGGAGGAGTAAATCTCGGAGGAGAAAATCCAACAGGAGAAAATCCAGGAGAAGAAAATCCAGAAGGAGGTCGACTTCATGTCTATGTGGATTCCGATTACGCCGGAGATAAGAACGATTTCAAATCGACATCAGGGATGGTTCTTAAGTTCGGAGGAGCAGTCAATTGGACATCCAGAAAGCAGAAGTCAACCGCTCAGTCGACCACAGACGCGGAGTATATTGCAACTACGGAGATGCTCGCAAATGCACTTACGAAGGCCTTGGCGAAGCCGGCGTTTTGGAGCACTGCTGCGGAATGGGTCTGATTACTGAGGATAAGTGTTAGATGGGATATGATACGGGATAATCGCGGGCGTTCATTTTTGGGGTACTGTACTGTTTGTTGATTTGTTTGGATCGATACTGGCCCCAGGAGGAGAGTAGGGCCAGAAGTGTTTGCCCGTTAGTCTGTTTGTCTCGAGTATCTAGAAGGGCATGGAAGTGTTTGCCTGTTTGCCTGTTTGACCCTTTGCTTTTGAGTTTGTGGAGGAAGAGTCACCGCCTCAGGGCTTGTTTCCTTTATGCTCTTTATGACGGCACCTGTATATATAGAGGGCTTGTCTGCTCTCTTGCTCCAGTTACCTTTTTACGCAATAGACACCACAAGTTTATCCTCTCTAGATCGCTGTGCATGTTGCCACCCTCACACAACGAAGGTTCGGCACAACACCTCCGACACCCACAACATCAATTCGCCTGCTGTTGTAATGCCCTAGTATTATCCCACAAATGTCACAGCTGGAATTTTGTGGCAGTCAATTCAAACTACTTGCGTAAGGTTGTTGCTGTTAGGGCGAGTTAGTTTTTGGAGAGTGTGGCCATCCTCACACTGCACATGGTTTAGGTGGTTCACAGTATCATTGGGTCATCGTGAAGGCACAGTAGATGGGAGTAGTATGAGTGCCGTGAAGATGGCTAGAAAACGTACAACACACCGAGCAAAAACTACCCCCTTTGTTTTAGATTGACTATCTCTCACAGTGCCAACTGCAATGAAAGTTGTGGTTCGCGGTAATAGCTGTACAGAGGTGTATGGATCTAGGCAATAGCGAATACCGTATCATCAAAACGTCACCGGATTTTATTCAACCATAGGTATGAAAGAGGCAGCAGTAGGGTTTGTTTTACGAACCGAGCTTGAAATGAAATTTTGCAATAACCTCGACGTTACTGCCTATACTACAAGTATAACCGTATACGAAAGAAACACCCGAATACTGACTGCATCATTCCGGGCAAAGCAAAGAACATGATTGCAGTGATAAGCGATGAATGTCACAATTTATCAATCGGTTTGGATGGTCTAGGGGTATGATTCTCTATTAGGGTCGCTCCCCAAGTCATGATTGCGTGAAGTCCCTGGTTCAAATTCGGGTTCGGGCCCTTTCATTTTTTTGGTGTAAACCAAATGTGATTCTAAATTTTACCATTTACAAGGACGTAACATAAGAATCACGATATATTCTCGTTGCTGAACCCGTAGCTAACCATTACTGTCTTTTCTGCGGGATTTAAAAATTCGCACCTCCCATTCAAACTTCACGACCCTTGATGTTGAACCCCAAACTAGGAAATGACCTCGTTCACCTGCTGGAAGAGTAGCAAATTGAACTTTAGGTTACGGGGGTATGATCTAGGGGAAGAATTTAGGGTGGTGGAGGTGATTCGTGTGCGTGTAGCCCTCGTTTTCATAATAAAAAACGCCATCTCAGCTTTATAAAATACATACCTTACACCTGCAAATGCAAAGAGTAAAAATATCACTGGTGATATCATACAATTACCCGAAAACATCAACATCCCCCACTGCATTCACCCCTCCTCCCCATTCTCACTTGCACTCCCAAAAATAACCCTCTCCACCCAGCTTCTCGTCCTCTTATTCCGCTCCTCCATCTGCCTCCGTTCAAACTCCACAACCTCCTCCTTCGCCCACGGAATCCACTCAGCAAACACCCTCGCCCACCCAATCGGACCAACTCCATCTCCCTCCTCCTCCTCTCCTGACCAATCCTCATCCTCCCACTCCTGCCCCAACTCCCGGAACAACCCATAAACCTCCTCCGACGGTTCAGGTGCGAAACACACATTCGCGGCGACCTCAGTAGCTTGGCTGGCATGGTTAGCATTGGCGGGTGGCAAGGGCGGCAACATCTGCGCCCACGCCTGCAGCGCAAACACTTCTTCCTGACTAAAACATACAGTGTGAGTATACGCCTTCCACGCACGCTCGAACGGCAGCTCCACCGTGATCTCTTGCAGTAACACCCAGCACGGCCTGCGATCCTCCCACCCTTCCCCGTTGCACGTCGGCCTTAACACTGGCCCCTCCTTCCCTACCGCCGGCGGCACAGCCACATGCCGCCGCCGCTTCCACTCCGGTTGTTCCGCCAACCACGCCTCCGCACTGTAGTAGGTTGTCTCCGTAGTGGCGTTGGAGTACGAGGGTACGGGGTAGGCGACGATCGTGATGCTACGCTGCGCGATGTTGGGGCGCACGGAGAGAACGAGGGCGGAGTGTTGGGGTTGGCGGCCGGAGGAGAGCGTGGTGGGGGCGGAGGAGGAGAGCTGGGAGTTGGGACCGTGCAGGATCGCGGGGAAGCGGAGCTTGATTAGTTCGCCGACGAGTGGGGGAGGGGAGGTGGGGTAGCGGCGGAGGGAGAGAGGGGAGGACATGGGGTGAAGAAAGGGGGAAAGGGGGACGGACGAGAGTGAGGATTGCGATTACAAGGAGGCGATCGATATGACATATAGTTACCCTGCCTCTAAATCTGGCAACACAAATGGGTTTTGCGAACTTAGAACTGCCCTCGCACAATACCCGTCACACTACACTCCGTCGCCACAAGCCAATGCTGAAATTTTAGGATTCCGATAGATCTATACGTGACATATCTAACCCAACTGCGCTCCGGGTTCGACCAGCCCCAACTCGGCTAAGCCCGGGCTGGCACCTACATCTAACAATAACACGTCACCTGTTAAAAATTATCGCAATTAGCTGTCTCGTATTCTCCTCACCAAATACCTACAGTGATTGCATGTTTGTGATTCGCATGCAGCTTGCTGTTAATTTATAACGGAGAGAACTAAAAAAAAATTATACCTTTTAAAGGGAAGGGTATGATAGGAGATGTTCCGCAGACTCTATGAGATAAATCTAGATGTCTTCCGTAGACTATTCTGCTCAAAATCTTATTGTTAACTAAACATAAGATCTGAGTCTTGTTACAGACCTGAGACCTGATACGAGCTCACTGAACCAGGGCTGATAGTAAGACACACAAGTCTCTTCGGTATGTCTCGAGTCCTTCTCCTCTATACTACATGGACACGGTTCTCCCCTTCATATTTGCAACATTTGTTCGCATATTGTGACCGAGTGACCAGTCATGTATAAGCCTGCCAGCATCCAGTCTACAGGAACGCCGACCTCGGATTACATGTAAGGATTGTTCCTACACACCATATGAGCGTATATCTGATAAGATAACCTGGTATATTGAAGTGTGCGATACAGACGAAGTCTATTGAGCTGTCTAGATAAAGTCTACATCTTAGATACAAAGACCAGAGTAGCTCAGTCGGAGGGCGATGGGGTGGAGATCGGGTGGAAATCGGATTGGCGAGTGGGAGTGTGATATATTGTGCCAGGGTAGTTATCGCGGCTTCCGAAAGACCTCGTTCTAGACCATCAGTGACCCGGTATATCCCGGAACTGATGAGTGAAAATAGATAAAGTCAAGATCATTCCAGAGGGCTCTACAACTGCACGACTTTCTGAAATTAACTGGAGAGGCAGGTATAAGGAAGATAGCTTGGCGATATTGGAGGGGGGTAAATTGGTGGTTAGACATCAACCAATCAGCAATTTGCTTGTGATTACCGAATGATTATAGAGTACCAGCCACCCATAATCTATCATAGGGTCAATAGAGCTTCACAATGTTATCTGAAGTAACGGGTCTGGAATAGAACTGTGCTGAAGCCTTTAGCAGCTGAGCGGGACAAAGCTGAACATTACCAGCGATTATCGGACAGAATACAGGTACCCGGTTTGTGCTCGAGCACAATCAGCCTAAACCCATGTACATTAGTAAGTTTCTCCATGGCTACCATAGCTCCTCGAGTAACACACTGGCCGACTCTGGGTGTTAGGAAGAGTGTGGGGGTTATTCGACTGTGAAGAAGGTTGTAACAGTGAGCTATATCTGTGCTCTATACTGTTAAGAAAATACGGTGAAATTGACATCAGAGTGCAGGGTAGATTGCCTTGTCAATTTTAAGTTGATGTGGCAGTGCTGTGGTTGAAGTAGTCATGCTTCCCGATGTTAACACTTCCCGTGGTAAAGAAAACACTAGTGCGAAGAATAGTCGGGTTGCTGGGATGTCAACGCGTAGTTCAGCATCTAGCTTCATATGTCGATTGTTGAATATCTTCATTCTGCCCTTGTCTCGAATCCAACTACCCCCAACCGTTTCATACTGGTAGGCTTGGCCTCTGCTATTACCGCTAATCAACCGGCTCCACCTCCCGCCTTCAAACCCTCTCCTGGTGTCCTCCCTTCCTTCCGGTTACTCCATCTTCCTAGATATCACAAGTACACGACCCTCTCATAAGCTTCAAGTAGCTTGAAGTGTGCCTCTGCGTTCGCCTCTCAGGCTGCCACTCTTCGCATCATTCCGGAATATAATTGGATATATACCCCATTCTTTCAACGAGAGTACGTATATCTTGGATCTGTAGTGAAGCGATTCCACAGAGAGGCGAAGCACAGTGTGAACAATGTTCGGATCCATCAATGTTCTTTCTCTAGAAGCTTCTATGGCGGGGTAACTTCAAACAAAATGAGAGGAGCAACGCGAGGGGTGAAGTGCGCAGATATGTACACCGAATGAGAACTTCACGACAAGGGGGTGTACATGTTGAAATTTGGGAATCCTGGTAGCTGCAAAGTTGAAGGATGGACTGGTGTGGGTCGTGCAGATATGCATGTTGCTGTTTAGCTCAAGAATCCGTTGGCGTTTTGTATGGCTAGGTTCACAACTCCTTGTGACTCCAAACTTGGATCACAAGAGCTGATGTGAGCCTACTTACCCCAGTTACCCCAAATTCTGAGTTCGCCTTAGATCTGGAGTTCGTATGCTGCTTTCAAAAAGGAGTGTGGCTGAGATGGATCGAACAGTTGGGTAAGGTTTGATATATCGGTCACGGCCCCAAAAAACAGAGCTGTATCTTCGTATAAAACGGAATATAATACGTACATCACTCTGGTAATAAATGCCGGGGGAGTAAGTTATGGCTAGCGCTGTAACAATGCCATAGTGATGTCTTCAACCCAAACGACCTCACGGCTATGCTTGAGTATGCGCCCCTGTCGAAATCTATGAATTAGGTGCTTCAATTTTATAGCCATTGAAGACGAGCGAATGGTTGCTCCATCGTTCCAATAGTTTCAATGTTTTCATTGTTGAATATTCCGAAGTGGCATGTCATGCTTCCTTCAAAATCCTAACCGCCCAGAGTGATGAATACATAATGCGGTGAGATCGGCACGAACCTGTGTGGTGGCTGCTTCTGCACTCTTGGTTTGATAGGGTCTGCGACTGGTTGTTATCAGAGACATTTGCCTCTGATGTGCAGAAGTTTCACCTGTACTAGGGTAATTGATGGAACACCTGTTTAATTTCGACGGGAAAGCCGGGATTGACTAGGATTGAATGTCAGCTACCAATCATTCACCTGTTTATCGATTAGTAGAGCACAACCGTGCGGATACACTATTGCCGGATCACTTTGCCTTGGTACTAATTCTCGAACAGAGTGAAACTGCCACACCAAGATTCAAATTTTTGCCTTACAGAGGACTTGGCCGGCAGTAGCGTTGCAGCTTGCATCTGCAGAATACCGTGTCTGCTCGTACCCGAGCGCTTTTAAGTGCGATCTGATACCTACCCGTTTAAATGTCCAGATCCCCAAGGTGTTTAGCGCAAGTTTGTCTTCAAGGTTCATACGAGCCAACCCTTGCTATGATTTGTGCTTTTTGGACCCTATACAATGAGATGTCAGACGCAGCACCGCCAGCCCGACAAATGACGCGTAATTGAGTGACCGAATAGTTGTGAGGGCTCCATCCAAAGCAATACGCGGAACGAATTGCATATTTCCGTACTCCTGCAGGCTAAGGAATGGACCGTATTGCAGCAACATGTATACTAGTGCACATGTGTCGGAGAGGATGAACAATGAGTTACAACTTCCATCTATTGGAAGGAACTGACTCACTTATGGCAGCAAATTACAGCTAACGTGGCGGAATCGTGTGGAATTGCGCCAACTAGGACTACTTCGATTGGTCTATATGTCGAGGTTGTTTGATTAC